CACGAACAATTGATTTAGTAATTGCAATTATCGATTGGTTTTGATTGTGATTCTCTTAGTTTGTTATTCATAGTGAACCCTAGCTTAACAATTAGGAGATAGCTCTTTGATTCCAATTGATTGCTCTTATCATTAGTCTTCACAACCTTTGATTGACTTGATCTTTCCAAGTTGTTGCAATTGACATGATTACTTGTTGATCCCCGTTCCTAGTGTTTTATTTTTCTTTGGTTACTTGTTTTGTTAGTTGTTAGTCTTCTCCCTTTACCCTTTGATTTAGACCTAGCTTAGTTGCATAATTGAAAGTGCTTGAACATTACCGTTCCTTTGGGTTCGACCCTTGACTTGCCTTTATACTCGTATTTAGGTTTGTTAAGTGTTTATAAATTTAGTTTGACTGAGGGAAGATTAGATAACGACCTAGTTTTCCCCTCGTCATTTATTCAATATTAATTTGATCCCTATTGAATAAAATGATTCCAAGATCCTTTATTTGTGCAATAATTGGCTGGAATGAGGCCCTATTACATTTTCAAGGTGAGTAAACTCTTTACTGATTACAACTCTTTGTAACTCTTGGTTGAATAATTAATCATCACATGTTTAATTATTACCCTTAGCTTCAAGGTTCTAAACCCTTTAGGTAACCTTGTTGAGTATAACCAATCAAAAGCGTAGAACGTGATCTACCCCCACTCCCCAAAGATATAATATGACACCCAGCTGAGGCATGATCCATCATAAATATCAAAGGTTTCATCGGGTTTTTAATGGGAAAAGCGACCTCAATATTACCGGGGCCTAGATTTATTATGTAGTGATTATTTAGTGAACTCTAGCGCATCATCACAAAAGATCAATAAAATCTAACATGCATAATAAACTGAATGCATAAACAAGACATAGCATGACCCCTAGTCCTAAGAAAACTAATAAAGTAAATGCTCCCACTTGAATCATCATGGATCTCATCCACCTTGCTCCTTTAGGCCTTCACTTCATGGGCTTCTTGGATTAACTACAACCTGTAATTTTACTCTATTATATCTACTACTTAAATAAAATGAAATAAAATTACAAAAATACTTTATTGGTACGTAGACCGTACTTAGATTACAAAAATACATCACGATGCGCAGATCATATTTAGCAATCTACTGGGCCATACTAGTCATTATATAGCAATAAACAACATCATATATTATAAAATTGCCACATAATAAATCACTCATCAGGTTTTCCTAAACTACAACATCGAATGTTCACAATTAAGGAAACATGTCATCTAAATATCTCATATTTTAATTAATGCAATTACATAATATCATATATTATTCATGACCATCAATAAAATATCGTATATTTTAAATTAGTCATGAAATAGAATTAAATCTTATTTTAATCTTAAAAGATAAATCATATTAATCCTCAAAGACTATCCTAACAAAGTTAGGAAATTCTATCCTAATTACTAGCCAATCACATAATTTTAAATCAATTATATCCAAAAATAATTATGGGATAATCACATTATTTAAATCAATTATTATCCTTTTGGAATATGCTAAGAATATTCTAACAAATCTTATCAAAAAGTAACCACTTTAATTATGGATAATTATCAAAATTAACACTTTAAATATGGATAATACTTTCTCTGTTTCATAATGTTAGTCCCATATACTATTTTGGGCGTTTCAAAACGATCTACCCACATTGAATATATTTCATGTATCACTTGATTTTTTTGGAATTAATTGATTGTGGATTGATGACATCACTCTAAGTAAGGAAATTTTTATCTTAAATTATGTAATTATGAATTGTGATTTTCTAATAAAAAATAAAAAAAAAAGTTAAATAAGGTAAACTAATTATGAATTATGTTTAAATTTAATGTTAGATTCCAAATATATTTGTTTCTTATTTTATGTGATTGATTCCATTTGGGACTAACATTATGAAAAGGAGGGAGTATCAAACTTAACAACTTTTGAAATATTTGATTTTATCTTAAAATAAAAGATTTTATCCAAATAAAACCAATTTTATCTTTCAAAATAAAAGATCATATTTTCAAAATATTTTATCTCTTCCAAAATAAATCATATTTATCTTGAAATATTTAAAATAAAATAATAATAATTTTTTTTTGAAAAACGTGCACCACCACACCGGCCACCGTGGTTGGCCAACCGAAGCTAGCCACGGTGGCTGGCTGCCAATAGCAGCCACTGCCGCAAGGGCAGCAGCGTGGCAGCAGCCGTTCAACGCTTGCACGCTGCTGCCCACCGCCACCTTGGACCGCCGCCCTCCCCTCCCTCCCTCTTGGACTGCCACCAGCTCGACAGCCACCGTGGCTGCGCCACCCAGTCGCGGCTGCCGGCCTCAAAATTATTTTTTTTGTTTTCAATTTAATTAAAATAACATTTATTAAAATTAAATCAAATTAGTCTAAAAATTAAAATTAAAATCAACATTCAATCTTAAAATTAGGGTTCATCATAAAATTAATCCCAATTTAATTTTAACTTTTAAAATTAAATCGATGATCATACACAAAACATTTTTACGCATAAATAAATCCGATTAAAATTATGAAACATAAGACAAATCGAATTAAATCAAAATCAAGCACAAAATAACATTTTAGGGCTAGGAATTTTCGAAGTAATTCGAAATTAGGGTTAGGGTTTTCGAAAATCCGAAAGAGTTCGAAATTTTTGAATGGTCTAGGGCTTAATTCGGTCCTCTTCATGGCTATTTTGAGCATTATTAAATCTCATTTAATCAATTCCAAGAGTTAAATCACATTTAATATAATAATTACCCCATAATTAAATTATTCTCCCTCCTAATTGAATTAAAATTGTGGATTATCAAAGAATTATTGTTAATATGAGTAAATGCAATAGGCTCACTAATGCCACTGTAGGAGTTTATAGGTACTAATTGCGGAAAAACATGAATCATATTCATACAGTACCTAAACCCAAGATCTAATGCATAACAAATAAAGAACATATAATTGTACCTTTGAAGCGTGATTCCACGTGCGATCGAGAAAGAACAATGGGAGATAAGGAACCCTAAGCGTGATTCCTCTACTTGGTCCACGGGCACAGATTAAGACCTCCACTAATGCTAGTTAGTTGCAATTGAACCCTTCAATTGACCTTCTACGGAGAAGAGAGAGCAACGAACCAACCATGAACCACCACGGACCACCATACGCGCCACCAAGGTGGCCGGCCGTACGGACGAGGGGAGGAGAGAGAAAGTCGTGAGTTAGAGAGAGGAATTAGGGTTTTGGGATTGGTTGCCTTGATGTCAAAGTACACTATGTGTGAATTATGACTGCTTGCATGCAACCCTAGGCATGGATCTTATTTATAGATCTCATCTCTAAATAAGAGCCCATGTCAAAAGCCCAAAACCTAATTCTAATCTAACTATGCTAGCCCAATCCATTTCATGATTAGTTAATTATTCATGAGGCCCATTAATGGGCCTCTAACTTGCTTAACCCAATACCCTTGTGTGTGACCTCATAGGATCCATTCTAACGGGCTTTGGACTATTTGACTAGTCCAAAGATCATCTCTCATAGTCTAGCAATAGATGATGACGCCCCAAGAGAACGAACTTATTATCTCCATAATAGTGTTCCTTGATATATTAAGTAATTGCACTTATCCAAGACACAACTCCTTCACATACCTCACAAATTCTTCACACTAATTCTCTTCTTCTCTTACTCTTGATCTTCTTCTCCTCTTTTCTAAAGAAAATCAGCTCGTACATCTTTGGAGCCAATTTTTAGGCACTTCTGTTCAGTTTTTGGGTTTTTCTATTTCACAAAAAAGTGTTCCTCTCAAAAAATCCTTGATTTGAGGCTCAAGAATCACCCGATTCGAAGTTATATCAAAGGAGTTACAGCCTCTGCAAGTTCTGCTTATTCTTTCCAATGCAAATCCAATTCTTCTTTTTTCCTTGGTGATCTTCTCTTATTCAAATATTATTATGAGGGATTTATAAATAATTATTATGAGTAGTTTAATTATATAAAATCATATTTTTAATGATGTTTATGAGAAAATAATTTAAAAGGTTCATGTACACATAGCTGGGGGTTTTTAATTATTTGTTAACCTTATATTGGTTAAGGTTATATTTATTTGTAGAGTGTGTTCGATCAAGATTCTTGTAGTTCTTTTGGTGTGTTTTTCTAAGCAAGGATCAAGGTACATTAGGTGGTTAGATACCTTGAAAGTGATTGGTTTGAATAAGCATGTTTGGATAATTTTATGATAATTGAATTGAATTATGATTTATGAAATAAAATCATGTTTAAATAATTGGTTTTAATAACTAAATTTGAGTATTGATTTTATATCATGTTTTGGATAATTAAAATTGTTATTCTTGTTTAAAAGGTTTGATTTTGAAAGCATGTGGAATTAAATCAAAAGGAGTTTGAATTATTATTATTAAAAGTTGGAAGTATTGGATTAAAAGAGGGTTTATTGAATTATTATTATTAAAGTTTTATAAGCATGTTAGTAATCCCACTATGCGGATTTTGTTTATTTGATAAGGCTTTGGACTTTGTATGAGACTAGATTGAGGGGTGTGCACACTTGGGTGAGGAATTGGTTTTCAAGGAACACTAGTGGAAAAAAGGCCATCTGTAACGGGCAAAAACGGCACATCCGTAACGGGCAGCGGCCGTTACGTATGCAGCCGCTACAGATAGCCTTTCTTATTCGTAACGGGCACCGTCCGTTACGAATAACGTGCCCGTTATGAATAACCCCGTTATTTGTAACGGGTTTTTCAGGTGCCCGTTACAAATAACCCCATTATTTGTAACGGGCTTTTCAGGTCCCCGTTACGAATACTGTGAGATCCAATATTAAAAAAATCCCGCACATGCTGGACAGCAGCTTGCTTAATTATTTTATCAATTAATATATATATATATAGTATACACTTAATAATTAACGAGTAATATACAATCAGCAAAAGCTGCTTTAATTATTTCCAAATAACTAAAACTAAAACTAAAACAAAGATCCTTTCAAAAAAAAAAAAGAATTCCCGCCAGTTACATTTTCCCGCAAAAACAACATTTACACAAACCAACCGCCCAAAGTCTTATAATAAAGCCCTAAAAATTCTCACAAAAATTGAAACCCTTGTCTTTCTCATATACATTTTCCCGCAAAAACAAAGGAGCAACTGTAGAATTAGTTCGGCACCACTCTGTTCTGAACTCGGTCTCATATACATGCATGGTTGAATCCTGGATCTATAACATATTTAATCCCATCATATCAATTATCAGAGAAGAGTCTGCAATATTTGTGGCCAACACAACCTTACGATTTTCCACTCTCCATCTTTACATGTCACTGGGAAAGAGTAAATGATTCCAGCTGGTACATTGTATGAGCCATCAGAGTACACACCCATAGAAACCCAAGTACCTTGTAAAGAGTAATCAAGCAAGCATTACACACAGCTACAACACTTAAAGTTGAGAAGAAAACATAAATATCTTCACTGTAGATTGGTCCACCGTACGATAGTAGAAATATTAGTAGCGTAGATTTGTTATCAAAATGAGCACAAATGAAAACTAACCTCTGGAGTTCCAAGGACCCAGTCACGGATGTGATAACAAGCTGAACTAGCAGCTGACAAGGCACTGGAGAGCTTTCTTGCTTTGATGATGGCAGCACCACGGATGCATGGTTCACATCAGGGTACTGGGATGATGAGTGGTTTCCCCAGATGATCACATTCTTAACATCAGATACTTGAACACTAAGTCTTTCTGAAATCTGGCCAAGGGCCCTGTTGTGATCTAGCCTTGTAAGACATGAAATGTTCTTTTCTAGGATTGATGGAGCAAATTCCTTTAGAATCAAGGTATTGGTGTTGGCAGGGTTGGCAACAACCAAAACTTAAAGCATTAGGAAAAGAAAAAAAGCATGAGAAGAGGCAATTTATAAGAAATGACTATTATCAAAATGCTGCTGTTTAGAAAAGAAGCATGTGGTCTCATCAAAATTAGCCAAACGATAAAAACAGGGAAAACACCAGATAAATATTGATATTGGAAACCAAGTGACCAATTAGAAACAGATAGGTAATAAAGCAAAGACTGAGCAATCATGAGAACTGGACATCAAGCAAACGTGAAAATTAGAAACCAAATAACCAATTTGAAACTTGTCCATAAGTGGTACGAAACATATTTCACATCCATTTCACTTATTTCCTCAGCTATTCTAATATTTAACAGGGCTCAACAGGCTCAAATAAAACAGGACAGGACAGTATGATACGAGCAGTTCAGAACACCAGTCAAACTAAAGGCAACAAATTTAACCAGCAGATCTGATGGTCGTATTTTCATTTGTATTCACTAGAGACTAGCATACAAAATAAACACCACATCATTGACTCCTAACTATCATTAAAGGACATAGAAAAAATAGTATAAAAATATGCCAGCAGTGAATCATGTACATGATTATCATAGCCAATTTGATATTGATAAATGCTAGTGTACACAACTTATTACAGCTTTTATCAGAATTTACAAATAAATTGAGCTAAATAACAAACCTTGCAGTTGGGGCAGCATGTTGCTCAAGAGCAGATGCTTGAGACTTGTAGATTGACACATTCTTTGCCATCACATCCTTCCTCTCCATGCCTTCTTTCCTTGGGAAGCCACCAACCATGACAGCAACATTTACACCTTTGCAGGCTTTAGCAGCATCGGTTGAAGCAACGATACCTGCAAATAATGGATCACAGGAATTCATAAGTTCACAAGTCAAAAAATAAACAGAGAACCTCAACATTACACTTCAAACTCCGCATAAGAAAATCCATAATCGCCAACCTTTAAGAAGTAGGAAAGCAGCATCCACCAGCTCCATTTTAACTCCATTTAAAGCCTCAGCAGCAGGAGGAATATCAAGCATGTGTAGAATCACAGGCTGGTCGGCACCTAGCATCACTCCCCTAGCAATCATGGGAACAAGAGCATATCCAATTTGCCCTACATGTCCAAAAACATCAAACAGGTCACACAACTTACACAACGATACAACAATATACGAATAAGAACAATAATTCACCCAGTTAGAATCACACATAGTATAAGTAGTGTATAACAACATAGCTGCAGTCAAATACTACAATGCAAAGTCGATCAAAGCAGACATAAAACACTCTAATTTAACACGAATTGCAATATGAATACATAAACACTTGGTCGCTTGGAAACTCAAGCCATACACACGGAAATACAGAACTCCTTCAAAGTCCAACCGGTGTAAGTGTAAGGGCACGATACAAAATCGAAATCCAAACACCACAAACACAAACGACATAAAACAAATCAAAAATCGACTTACGATTAGAATAAGGTTTAAGATATGAATGTTTAGGCTCAGACACGCACAAATGGGGTCATCAAGAATGCATACTCACAATTAGTCTCAAACGACTAATTCAGCAATAATATCCAATCAATTCAAATCTTGACACTACGATCTCCTATCAATTCATTTTTAGGTCATAACATTCAACAGTAAGCTATAAACCAACATTTTAACCGATAAAAATCACAAAATAAAAAACAAAACCTCAAAATCACGAATCTAATTACAAAAATTAACTTAAGAAAACAAAATAATCAAATCAAAACTAAACAAAAATTAACACATTAATCAAATCAACAATAATCTAACAAAAAAATGAAACAAATCAACAAAATCTAGATCTTCTCCAGTCTAATTGGCTTGAAAAAAATCGAAGAGATATAACCATACCCATAATGTACTGTGATGTTTTTTACCTGAAACATCACCGCCATATCCACTTCCGAGTATCGAGATTCGTACAAAAGACATCCTAAATTGGGTCCTCTACCATTGATGCGACTCAGAGGAGAGAGAAAGAGGGGAACTTTTTGGAATTAGGGTGGTGAAATGGAGGAGATTGAGTGAATTGAGTGAGGTGAATAAGTTGAGAAGAGAGAGATTGAGTTAGCAAAATGAGAGAGGAGAGGAAAGAATAGGGGATTTGAGTGTTTGACGGCTAGGAGTGTGAAACCCTAATAATTAGTAATGGGCTCCTCTTTTCAGCTGGGCCAAATATTCGACACCATGTGTCCGTTACAAATAATATAGTATTCGTAACGGACATATGGTGTCTGTTACGAATAAATATTTATTCGTAATGGACAATATTTTGCCCGTTACAAATAATATAGTATTCGTAACGGACACCATGTGTCCGTTATGAATAAATATTTATTCGTAACGGACAATATTTTGCCCGTTACGAATGTATTTAATGTAACGGGCATAGCTTTGCCCGTTACAAACAACCCGTTACAAATGAAACTTTTTCCACTAGTGGAATGAATTGGATTTTAATGAGGAATTGGTTTTATTGAATTTGACTATTGATTATTATTATTGAAATTGGTTTCGGAATTATGAGTTGGAATTATTGGTTTAATTATTTGAATGGATGGAATTGATTTCAAAAGCATGTTTGCTAATAAAGTGAGTTTACATTATCTTGCACTTAGCGTACTTAGCATATTTTGCTAACCCGTATTTCTTATTATTTTTTGGTTTGCCCTATTTACCGTAATGGTAAGGAGTGTTAACTAATTTCAGGTGGAGTCAATGATTGAGCATTTGGAGTCCCGGGAATGGTTTCACCTAGATTAGGAAATGTTGGTCTTTATGTTTATTTTGAGTACTCATGACTATAGTTATTATTTATTGTTTATTATTAATAAAAGAAGAGTATTGAAGTTTTCTGCTGCAAAGTATTGGTTTTGTTTAGTAATATTTGAGTAGCCTTGTGTAATCACGCGAAGGTAATACGTCCAAGTCTATCTCTACGGTATAATTATATGTATTATACTGGTATTTTTATAGAGGGAGATTTGCGGGTGTTACAAAGTGGTATCAGTTTTTAAAGTCCTAAAAAGATTAAAATTATAATTTAAAAAAAAAAGAAATGGCGGGTAGACTTAAGAAGGGCATATAGGATAGATAGAGTTTCACATTGGTGTGAGAGTCAAAAGCTTTATTTTTATATAAAACTATTTTCCTATTTGTGGAAAGATGAATGAGAAAAGTATGCTCGAGTTCTTTACGGAGGTCTATAATGGGTACGACTCTCTAAGGCTCGCCTCAACGTCGTAGGTAACTTTCCTGTGAGACGCGGGCTCGACCATCCTATAATCATGATTCAAGTGCATAACTATTATTTTCGAAAATAAAAAGAATTGAAATTTGATTATGCAATTATGTGTGCATTAAAGTTGGTGTTAAAATTCCTTGAAGTGTGTATATGGGTTTGAAATTTCTGAGTTATTACCCATGGTTGGGTGATCTTGAGTTATGCTTGGTTGATTGAGTTATGAATTGCTTATTGCAAATGGATTTTAAATTCAATTGTTTGTGTGATTCGACATTGAATTAATTGTTTTGCATGTGTATGTGAAACAGATAAAAAGGATTGATGAAATGAGACGGAATTACTTTAACTTGCATTACTTGAAAGATAATGGAGTCACAGTTAGTGAGTTCTTAACTGGAATTGTCACCCTGGCCTTAACCCTTTATGAGAAGTGTAATCCGGATATGTGATATGTGGCAAGTATTTGAATCATACAAGTTTTACATGTGGTCCATATGGTTGAGTTGTTATTTTGAGATTAAAGGATTTGATGACTACTATGGGATAAATGAGAAGTTATTAGGAGGATTTGTACTATCAAGTCTTTACTAATTTTTGGAATATGATTTATGCTAATCAAGAAAATATTATTTGTGCTAATGATGAGCTGAGTTGAATTAGTTCTATACAAGTGTTGGAGTAAGGTATTGTAGGGAATATTTTCAAGCCTTAAAAATCCCACTAGCTCGAACCTTTCGAGTCTCATCCACTCATTCTAAATCATTGCCGAAACAAATTCAGGAATTAAAATAGAAATCCTCCCCAGTGGAGTCGCCAAAAACTGTAGGGAATATTTTCAAGCCTTAAAAATCCCACTAGCTCGAACCCCACTGTGATCATACACTAAAGTACAGTGGCGTCCAAAAGGGAAAAGATAGAGCAAAAGAGTCGCCAACAAGTTTTTAAGGAACTTGTAAACCATTCACGAGGTGAAGGTTACACCCCTTAACGATCCAAGAGATCGTCAACTCCATAAGGTCATGAACCAAAATAGGGTTCGGGGATGATGGTACAAATCCAACCTAATAGAGATTGAACCTGCCCTAATAATAGGCCTCTGCTTTATTCTGCTCGTATTCATGTGCGCTTTCTAACTAACATACAATCAATAGGATTAACCCTAAACCTGTTTAATCTATGTTGGTTGAATTTAATGCACAAATAAACTATTATTGGTGATCACTTGAATTATAATCACAATTAACCTAACAAGATTATTAATATCTTATTAAGCGTGATTGCAAAAACCAATTCCCTTTAACCTGCAATAAAAGGTGATCAAGCAACAACAATATATAATAATAAACATTAGAAAGAACATAGGAAGCATCATACTTTAAATCATACTTGATATTAAAGATACCCTAGACATGATACTAGGAATATCATAATAACAATATAAACATGATGTCTACATCATAAAATCAATAAATCAATAAAGTACTTACTTGGATGCCTCGTACCTCTTTCTAATTACAAAATACACACGTTAGTAATTTCAAGAAAAATAATAAACAAAGCAATTAAATTAAATAATAGAGATTTGGGACCAAACCCTCAGAAATTAAAACCTTTCACGCCTAGGGCAAAGGCAACTTCGAATATGGCTAGGTGTATCTAGATCTTGTGAATGCGGAATTTTGTATGAAAAAGCAAGGTTTAGAAAAGAATGCTAAAAGATTAATGTTATTGAAAATTGATGAATGAATGATGAAGATGAAGAGAGTTGATGAATAATTTTGTAAAGAGATTGTTGATGAATGATGATTGTAGATGGTGAAGATAGATGGTGAATTCGTCAATGAAAACGGAGTTTTGATACGATATTTATAGAGAAAAACATCCAAAAAAAGATAATTTATCAAAACAGAGTCTGAAGATCGCAAAACCACCTTGGCGCCAGCCCTGCTCATTGGCGCCAGGACCAGTGGCTAGGGCAAGGCGCCAATCCTGATTCCAGGCGCCAAGGCCTGGGGTTGGACGCCAAATTGGATTTCAACGCGTTTTCGAAAATCTGATAAAATTCCCGTACTGGAAGATAAAATAATATAATTTCAGTCGAAAATGCTATTTGATCTAATTAAAACTCTAAAGAATCCTAATTGAATTAAGAATGATAAAAACCTTCTAGAATGTTCTAGAAGACCAAAACCATTCCTAATTACATTAGGAATGATAAATCATATTAGGCCCTCCCCTAGATCATTGGGCCGTACTTAAAACTCAAACCGGGCCCAGTTTAGTAAATTGGCCATAAATTCCTCAATACTCATCAGAATTGGGCTTATAATATATCGTTGGAAAGGTCTTTGCAAGCCCCATCCAACTACACCACTATTGGACCCATATCATGGACCAACCAAACTGGATTGGTTGTTTTCCTTAAAATAAAGTTTTCAAAAACAGAGAGAAGAGAAAAGAAAAGAAATAAAACTTTCCGCAACACTAGACCTTTCCACACTTTCGTTTCATTCGATTATGATTCGACGTGAAAGGCACTCATCACTGGGTTTGGTTTTGGGGAGACACAAATGGGTGTCTACAGAAGCCCCCACTTTGACTGAGTTTGGAGAAACGCAAGTTTCGAAAAACGAAAGCCAAAGTATCGATAGGGACGGAGAATGATTCAGAATGTTCTGCGATCCTAAATCAATCTTGTAACACCGATAACTGCAAAACTAGAGTTAGTTAAACAGATAAAAGAGTTAAGAAACGCGTATCTTACACCGTCGAGCACACGTCTCTGAAAGTAACTGATAACTTTGATGACCTCCTGTAAGCTAGAAAATGTCATCCCGCTTGAAAACTGCTACGCCTTGTAACTGCTTCCAATTAGAAGATTGCTTCGCTTGAAACTATCCTCTCTGCTGTGATAATATTCCACGTCCAAGGGAATACCATCAAAGACTATTTCTCTTGAAACAATCCTCAGTTTTTTTTTTTTTGACAACCCTCCACAATCTAGGGAACGCCATCTTGCTGTTTGTTTTGACGATCTTCCGCAATCTAGGGAACGCCGTCGATCAATGTTGCTACATCTTCCGCAAAAGTCGTCGAAGACTGCCCATCTCGTGCTATCTTCTCAAATCTCGGGTGACAACCTCCACGATCTTAGCGAATGCCGTCGAAGACCGCCCATCTCGTGCTATCTTCTCAAATCTTGGGTGACAACCTCCACAATCTTAGCGAATGCCGTCGAAAACCGCCCATCTCGTGCTATCTTCTCAAATCTTTGGTGACAACCTCCACAATCTTAGCAAATGCCGTCGAAGACCGCCCATCTCGTGCTATCTTCTCAAATCTTTGGTGACAACCTCCACAATCTTAGCGAATGCCGTCGAAAATAACTTTACTTGAAGTCATCCTCAATGTTGTGATAATATTCCAAAGAAAATTACCGAAGACCAACACTTGTCGATCTTTAAAGCTCGCTCGAACTTTGCTTCTGCTATGCCTGTACGTCGGCGCTTTCGTTGCTTTGAACCTATACGTCGGTGTCCTTTTGCAAATGAACTAGTATATCGGTACTTTTTGTTAATGAGCCAATTCTTAGGCGCCTTAAGCTAAGTGAGACGATCTTTCATCAGGTCGATCACTTATTTGCTGTTGTAATCAAATCGACAACTCAATCATGTCAATATTGCTTATAGGGGCTAACTGGCGTACCAAGGAACCCAAAAATATATTGCAGAAGGCTAGCACAACCCCAACAGGTGGCTGGCTGCTTCGGCGTTGCTGAAAATCAATTAGCGCCAAACATATGGCATTAGCGCCAGGCGCTGGAATTGGCGTCTGGCTCCAAGCACAGAAAGTGACGCCAATTCCTAGGGA